TTTCGGGTTTAGGGTTTAGGGGGCTGGGATGTTTAAGATTGCTACATTCCCGGTAGGGGTTTCGGGTTTAGGGGGCTGGGATGTTTAAGATGTCTACATTCCTGGTAAAAAGCTAGAAACGATCAACAAAGATCTGTTTTGGGGTGTAGGGTGTAGGTTGAAGGGAACCGGAGCCCGCAAACCCTAGACCCCCTAAGCCCTAAACCCCAAACCCGAAACCCAAAGAAGGCAGCTCTTGATCGACCCGCCGTCTTGAGCCTAGCTTCGTAACGCCAAAGCTCTAGATGTGGGTCTTCATGGTTCCATCATCTACATCTATACATATACATATTTTTTCTTTGTTTAGGATTTAGGGTTTAGGGTCTAGGGTCATGTATATGTTGCAAATGTGTATTTGTATTTGTATGTCTGTATACCTACTATGTCATAATGCTTTACTTGTACAGCTGCCGACGGTCGTAACTCTACACCCTAAACCCTAAACCCTAAACCCTAAACCCCTAAACCCGAAACCCTAAGCCCTAAAACCCTAAACCCTAAACCCCTAAACCCGAAACCCTAAACCTAACTCTACACAGGCATGGCCGGATGCAGAAGTCCGAAGCTAGCCATGCCTTTTCGCCATGGTGTTGGAGTTTGGGCTGTAAGGCCCCGGTGACTTTCAAACCCTAACCCCTAAACCCCGAAAACTCTAAACCCTAAACCTCTAAACCCCTAAACCCCTAAACCCCTAAACCCCTAAACCCCTAAACCCCTAAACCCTAAACCCTAAACCCTAACCCCTAAAACCCTAAACCACTAGACCCTAAACCCCTAAACCCTAAACCCTTAAACCCTTAACCCCGAACCCCAAAGTGCCCTACGTCCGAATCCTAAGGGTTTCTTAGAAGCCCCTGCAATCGAGGTTTAGGGGCGTAGGGTTCGTAAGGCTTCAGGGTTTAGGGTTTAGAGTTTAGGGTTTAGCGTTTAGGGGCTTAGGGTTCGTAAGGGTTCAGGGTTCAGGGTTTAGGTTTTAGGGTTCCGAAGGGTTTGTAAGGGTTCAGGGTTCAGTGGCCTGCGCAATTCGCTCATTTTTTTGAGATTGGCGCAGTCATGAAGTGGAGACAAGACACCCTAAACCCCTAAAACCCTAAAACCTACACCCTAAACCCCTAAAAAAATTAACCCCAAAGTCTAAACCGTAAAGCCTACACCCTAAACAAGAGCAGGCAGAATCTCGCGCGCCGCCAGGGAGCGGGGTGCCTCCATCCTGGAACCTGAGCCCCGATTCCCCAAAGCCCAAACCCCTAAACTTCATAATATAGTGGCCTAACTTAAGCGTTTATCTAAGGTTGAACCCATGGGCCCCTAACATGGGCCCTTAGGGGATTCCAGGGTCCCTTCAGGGTATATATAGGGTATATAGTAGGTATATTCGGGTCCCAGGGTCTAGGGCCCATACTAGGGGCCCATGGGTTCTACCTTAGAGTTTAGGGTTTAGGGTTTCGGCCTAACAAATTACCAATATTATTCCTGACAGCTCCTTGTTTTAAGTATACTATACAGAAGCCCCAAACCCGTTCCAATTATTAAGGCTCCTACATGAAACGCCGTGCAAGGCATCGAGCTGTGCAGTGGGGCTGGCAGGCAGGTAACGTGGCAGGGATTGCCAGAGTCTTTGAGGGCCAGGGTTAGGCACCCTGGGGAAAACCCTGAGACCATCAAATCCTGGCAGATAAACGGATACGTGTTCTGAAGAAACCCCAAAACTCTAGACCCCCAAACCCTACACCCCAAGCCCTGCACCCTACTTGGAGGTTCATGGGTAGTTATAAGTAGGGTTATGAGTCCCCTAATATGGCTTATAATTCTAGTTGGCTTACTTGTAACCCCACTTATAACTACCCATGAACCTCCAAGTACACCCCAACCCCTGCACCCTAAACCCTAAACTCTAAACCCTAAAACCTGAACCCTAAACCCTAAACTCTAAACCCTAAACCCTAAACCGTGGCCTACGCCGTTGGGATTGGTGCTCTTGAAAGCCGTGTCAGGGCTCCGAAACTCTGGAAGTCTTCTGTCACGGGTATTTTTGGGGAGAAGGATTTATTTGGGGTTTAGGAGTTTAGAGGTTTATTTGGGGTTTAGGGGTTTAGTGGTTTAGGATTTAGGGTTTAGGGGTTAGCGGTTTAGGGTTTCAGGTTCATTTAGGGTTTAGGGGTTTAGGGGCTTATTTAGGGTTTAGGGTTTATTTAGGGTTATGGTTTAGGGAGGTTCCGAGATACGGAAGTCTGTTGGTCGGAAGTGCCGTGCAAGCGATCCCCCAAACTGGATCTGTGGATCCAGCAACCTACGGTTTAGGGTTTAGGGTTTAGGGTTTAGGATTTAGGGTTTAGGGTTTAGGGTTTAGGGTTTAGGGCCTATTCTAGGGTTTAGTGTGTAGGGTCCTACCATATTGTAGAGTTTAGGGTTTAGGGTCCTGCCATACGCTAGGGTTTAGGGTTTAGGGTCACCCTATATTGTAGGGTTTGTTTCCGATACCCATGGGCCATAATTTCGCAATCTTCTATGTTGTCGAACCTGGAGCGACTACAGGCCCCCCGTGTACCCTTACCCGACTTTGGGTTTAGGGCTTAGGGTTTAGAGTCACGGTTGAGGGTTTAGGGTTTAGGGTTTAGAGTCACGGTTGAGGGTTTAGGGTTTAGGGTTTAGGGGTTTAGGGTTTAGGGTCACTTAGGGTTTAGAGTTCAGCCAAATCGTAAAGCACAAGGGATGGCAAACACAGGCCAAGAGGCATTAGTGGTGCAGTCTTCTTGTTTTGGGGTCCAGCGCGGGTTTGGGATTTTAGTGCTGGACAGTTTTTTGCGCTAGGGGTTCGGTAAGGACCATGTAAGGAGGCCCATTTAAGTCTTGTAGCTGCATAAGACGAGCTCGCTTCGATCGTCAACTGGGTCTCCCTTCAGTTAGGGTTTGGGGTTTAGGGCTTAGGGTTTGGGATGAGGGTTTACAATTTATGGGTCACAAATCCATACAAGATAGGTTATCCAAAACAGGTGCCAGAAGTCAGGGTATAGGTTTCTGCTTTATTGCATTGGGCTTGGGATTTAGGGTTTTGGGGTTTTGGGTTTAGGACCCTAAATCCTAAACCCTAAA